GGACATGGCGGTAGCCGCCACACCGCCTGGCAGAGGCACGTTGACGACCGGGATGCCACACATGGCACAAGCTGCGGGAGGTAGGTGGGCGTTCTCTCGGCGGATGCGATCCTCGTCGACGGTGGTGCTTCCGGAAAAGATGGGTTCGATGACGAGGTTGCCATCGAGGATCGCCGTGTTGGCCTGACGCCTGCTGAGCCAGTTGAGTCCCGGCGCGAAATCGAGACGAAGGCACGGCTCTACGTCTTCCTCCTGGGAGCGCTTGATGAAGGGCAAGGATAACTGATTTGGCAGCGATACCATGTTGTCAACATTAGACGGCAAAGTAGGATAGTCACGGTGTCGGCTGACGCCTGCGATGGCGAACGGCGAGCTGGAATAGAGACTACCGCCAATGCCTTGGCTGTAGGCGGATGAAGCAGTCGCGATAGAGTTGGTCGTCGCGGCTACAGCGCTGGACCCTTGCTGAGGCGCTGGCGAAGCGGTGCGTGGGGTAGGGGTGCCGGTGAGCGAGTCGCGAGCGCCGTGTGGGAGTGGATAGTTGTAGAAAGGGGCCAGCTGTTTTCGCAATTTGCGCAGATGCGCGATGAACGAACGGAACTCCTGGTAGGGGACGATGTTGATGATGAGGCGAGCTTGGGCCGCAAGGTCGGCAGCGGGTTTGTGTTTGAGCTCACGCACGGCGGTCCTCTGGGAGATGGATCGAGCGAGGGAGGAGGTGTTGAGGCGATGGAAGCTGACGGCGTCGCTTTCGAGGGAAGCGACGGATGCAGTGTCGGCGGTGAACTTCTTGGAGGCTGGATCGGCTTGCAGCTTTTCGACCTGGCGCTGCAGATCGGCAAGCACCTTCTGTTGCTCGAGCATGATGCCCTCGGTATCCTTGAGTCGCTCCTCCATGTTGCGGCTCTTCTCTTCGGCTCTGGCACGCGACAGACGCTCGACGGCGACCATCTTGTTGGCTTCGCTAAAGAGACTCGAGCTGAGCTCGTCAAGCTCGGCCTCGATCTTGCTCTTGTCACTCTCGGCCTTGCCGCGTTGGGCGGTCTCTTCGATGACACGGTCCATCATCCTCTGCATCTCGCTGCTGACGTGAGCCTTTTCGACGAGAAGGCCAGTGTTGAGGGCGTCGAGGTGCTCTGCGCGCTCCTTTTCGAGCTCCTTGATCTTTGCCGCCATGGTGCGGATGTTCTCTTGAGCATCCGAGTAGTCGTCCTCGAGGTCGGCGATGCGATTGAAGGATTTGACGAGCTTCTCGTTGAGACCGGTCACCTGGTTTGTGAGGTCGGAGACTTGAGCTTGTAGCTCCTCCCTTGTTGGTAGTGGTTGCGCTTCTGGGATGGCATGCTGCTCTGTGCTTATGGAACGGGCGGGTGCTCGAGGGCTGTTGATCGAGTCGCTCTGACTGAAGATGGCCGAAGCGGCGGAAGCTCTCTTGAGGTCGGATTGGTCGGCATGGCTCGGAAGAGGAAAAGCGGAAGCGCGCTTTACAGCTGCATCGGACGACGAATCGATGCCCAGCACCTGGTCTGGGTCGGCTTCATCGGCGAGGATGGAGTCGGGATCCATCCTCTTCAACTGGGTGTCCGATTCGAGAGCTTCGGGCTGTGCGGACTCGGGGTCGTCCTGGCGCACCGCATCGGATTGAGGAGCAGTCGACATGGCTGCGTCGGCTTAGTGTGCTCGGGGCCAGTCTTGAAGCGAAAAGAGAGGCGGGCGGATGTGCGCTTCAGCAGCGTGGCGACCGGCGCCAATGCGAGACGTGGGATGTAGGATGCAAGCGTTGATGCTGCGACTGAGTGACCGAGAGTGTGCTGTTGCGTGATGGAATTTGTGCAAGTGAAAGGGTGCTCGAGCGTATTTGAGAAGAGCGGATCTGAGACTCGCTTGTGAGGCAAGACGCTCCACGTCCACACGTTCCCGCCGCCGTCGGTCCCACCGTGGCCACCAATTTGGCCCCCCACACGCGCCAAAATCTTGAATGCGCACGAACCCACCTGGTATCAGCCGACCCCCTCCATTCGCGCCTGGGCCGATGACAGCGCAACAGCATGTTCCTGAGCTGGGCTGCATTCACATTGTGAGCATCGGATGAAGCTTGGCTGTGACCGTCGGAAGCGCCGAAAGAGAGTTTTGACCAGCCCAGTCGAATCGGCCCACGCCGAAGCCATTTGTGATGCCAAAGGCAGCTTTTTCACACTGATCAGCACAGTAATAGCACACACACACACACACACACACACA